AACAAAACGTCATTGATAACATAAAAATTAAAAACCAACCTTAATGGAAAGTTCTAGGAAATTGTCTCAGCTTTCCAAGGAAAAAAGATTGAGATCATTTAGACTTCTAGAACTTGAGATATAGGCTGAATACTGAACAGTGTTTGGGCTGTAGGACAGATTTGGACTTCTATGTTGTTGCTAAAATTTGAACTTCCAAACAGCAGAATTGAGTCTTGCTTTTCCATGAAAGTTTTAGGCCTATATCTTAGCTTTCCATCTATATAAATTAGACCTAAATCCAAGTTTTACAGCTCCAATTATGATCCAATTACCGAATAGTGTTCTAGTTTGAACTAAACCAGCATCTCTTTTCTAAGCTTCACCCTCTATTTGTTCTTTCAATTTCAGTACTTCAACTCATCAATCAATCATTTTATTTATGTGATGGACCTATATTTAAGATGAATAATTATCATAAATTAAAGGTATTTTATGATATCAGACTTGTTATTATAAAACATGCTTGTATTAAGAAGTTATTGATACTTCAAGTGCAAAATAATAATATAAAACCTTGACAAAAATACACTTTTAACTACTAATCACCTATATTTTCCATTTATGTTCTAAGTCTAGTATTATAGGTGCACAGGGTGAGTTTAGCCTTCTATGGACAAGCTTTATTTTTATTGACAACAATTAAATAAATAAAAATATAAACATGCATGTTAACATAAAAAGACTCAATGGATTGAAAATGGGGTAGCCTTTTATAAAGGGTGACAAGATAACTTTGAATATTTGATGATGATCAAGAATCTATTAACCTAATTAGCATTTTAAATCAAGATATTTAGCAATTCTTCTATCAAAGAGGATATTGTCCAATTTTTTTGTTACTTGTACTGAAACAAACATTTAAGATCTAAACACTTCTTTGTAGATCCAGATAGTATTAAACCTTTAATGTATATCAATCCATCCATTTTGAGTGTTATAACCTATTTTTACCCTTGAGTTATTTTCAAGAATAACAAAAAAATACTTTTAAAAATATCTAAAAACAAGAAAAAAAAATCAAGTTGACTGGATAAATTTTTCAGGCTTTAATCAAACATGATTTTTAAAGGGTGCAGCTGAATTGATATCAATTTTAATTGGAAGAATTGGAAGACCAAGAATCAAAATTATCAATTTAGAATGAATTGCAAGGTCCAATTAATTCAATCACGGCCTTAATTGAATAAAAAAAATGTGTACAACTAATTATTTTTTTTCAACTAAAAGAATTTTAAAATCCAATGACTTTTTGAAAAGCAGAGAAGTTAAAAGCAATCTTTAAAATAAAATTAAGAATCCAATTTGAATGTTTTCTTTGTTTGGCTTTAATTTTAGCTTGTTTAAAAAAATTAAAACTACGGGGGTATTAAATTTAAAAATACACTAATATTCAAGGACTTTTAAAACATGTCCATGCCAAGCAATACTATTTTGAGGCCAAGTATATAAAAATTTCTTTGATTTTTTATCTTCTTCCATAAACCATTTATAACCCTAACAACTAAATATTTAACACCCTAATTGCATTGTCTCCTAGTTTCATTTAATCCATTTATAACCCTAACAACTAGATATTTAACACCCTAGTTGCATTGTCTCCTAGTTTCATTTAATCGATCCTACCCCGTCATTTCATGTGTTTCATTTCATATTTTTTATCATTTCATCATTATCCTTCACATTGTATTATGTTGTTTTTCTTTATGTATGAACATTGATATATTGAATAATATGTATTGACATGGTCTTTTCATTCTAAATAATAGAAAATCAATATTCATTCATACATTTGTATCATGTTTTATAACTTGTTTATAAAACCCAGTAAGGGTTCAACTCATATTAAAAGATTTATTAGGCTAAAAATCAAAACCTTTAAACAAACTCATCCTTGTTTTCTTACAAATCATGTCAAAAATATCTTATCATTAACATTTAGTAATTATGAAAAATAGACTCATCATGGTCCATTACCTTAGATATCAAGAGGATTAACTCATTCTTTTGAATTTTAAATGAAAAATAAATTTTAGAAATATCCAAGTCTTAATATTCACCAAAACAATTAGGAGTATTGGTCTTTTTTTTTATTATTACACGTATGCATAGGCACAAGGTTGCTCACTTATTGTGAATGTACATACATGAGTTAGCACTAGTGTATGCAAGCACTGATAAGGGTTAAATAGTAAAAACTTGAATCATAAAAAGGTGATTGTCAAGTAAATGAACCCTAAAAAATGTTATTTGTCAAAACTTTATCCATAAAGGACTTTCATGTCACTAGATCTTATTCCGAGTAAATGAAGTCATGATAGTCATCACTTGGGTAGGATTAGGGCATACAATTTTCATTCATTTAGCAAATATTATGAGTGAATCTTAGGCACCATAGGATGAATAAACCATAACAAGGAATTATCCATTGACCCTTCCTAAAATTTTAATTTGGTTCAATGAACCCAATATAAACCCATTGATTATTTATTGGCATGACTTGATATACTTTTGATCATGAGTCATGATCAAATGATACGAACCTCTTAATCACATGGTCAAGCAAACCCTAATGAAGTTGAAATAAAACTTATAAAGCCAAAAAATCAGGTTTAAAAGAACTCTAAACTAGAGGTAACCATGTACCTAAGAACCCAAAGTATTGGAATAAATTTGGACCCAGAGATAACCATATACCTAAGAACCTGATGTATGTGAATGATGTTATAAAGTCAGTTAATCTTTGATAAGTTGGTATACAATTTTTGTCTTTGCAAAGAAAGATTGTTTGTAACCTATAAAACAAAGAAAAAATTGTTTATTCTAATCATCACAGTTGCCAAAACTTGCATCCATAAAAGAAATATATAGTCCTTTATCCCTTCTAAATAACCCTAATGAACCCTTTTTAGGTTGTAAGAAAATTGGTCATATCTAGTAATTAACTAACATAAATCTAGTACCGAAAAAAACTCTAAAATAATATATAATGAGTCAAAACAAACCCAATTTAGAAAAAAGTTCAAACTAATAATATTCAACACTAAAATAAATAGATAAAAAAACACACCATAAAACAAATTCCTCTTGTTTGAAACCCTCATGTATGGCCAAAAATTCCCTTTGCTTTCTTAGAGTCTTTTCTTAAACTTCATGCATCAAATTAGCTAGAAAACTTTGTTTCTAATTTTTAGAATTTTCTCCCTTAAAGCCTCCCCTCTCCTTGATATGCTAATAAATCCTATAAAATAAAAAAAAAGAACAAAAAAAATCCTAAGCCCCCTTACCATAACATACATTCCATAATGAATATGGAATCATTGCAAACTATAGATAATAGTTGTTGTCATAAATGTCTCCTTGTTTGATATAGAATCCTTGTAGAATAAGTAAGTCAATAGCTGTCATATATGTTTCCAAGAGCATTAAGGAATTCTATTATTGACTAGAATCTATAATACACAAGGAAACAATGTTATTTCTTGTATGGATGAATTAGAAAGTATACCACATCTCACTAGAAAGATATGGATATTTACTTTTCAAATTAATTAGAATCTCAGCATAATATTTTATGTAGCTCTATATGTAGTTCAAACAATAGACAAAGGTCTAAATAGATAAATGTGACAAGATTGATCCAATAACTTTAATCTTTTCAAATAATCGTTTACATAACTCTGATTTATCTTAAATTTTAACCCAATATAAAAAAGCATGTTTAGAATATCCTATAAAAGTCTTAGATTAATCTAATGGTTGAATTGAAACTGATGCTCGATAGCATAAAACTAGATAATATAAAATTTTACTTCTAAAATCTAAATTTGACCTTACTTTAATTGTATCATTCCTTTTTTTTTAAGATGATTCTTTATTGAACAACCAATATGTATAATGGACATTCGTTAGCCTTTTGTTGAAGCTTTTAGAGTTTTTTTCTTGCCCACACTTGCCTCTAACAATATTATCCACTTGCATAAATATTTTTGAATGATAACCACCATTGCTTTTTTTTATTTTTCATCATTTCACCACTAAACTAAAGCTTTTCATTCTTCACATTCTTTATTTGTTTCTTTATAAATCTTTGTAATTTATTCAGTCTCACGCTATTTATCTAGTGTCATAAAAGCATTATGATCATAAATATTTGAAACTTATTATCTCAATTTATTTTCCTTGCTCATATTGAATTCCCTTTGATTAGCCCTATGTCAAACTCCACTATTTTTATTAACATTTCCCTCCAATATTTTCATCTTGATACAATTCGAGAAAAAGTTAAATAAAAAAAATCAGATTCTAGCATAATTGTATTTATTATTTAGTTTTCCATTATTAAATATAAATCTCAATATAGTCATTAGATCGAACTAAAATTTTACCTAAATTTTTCACGCATATTTTTCTATATTAAATTAAAATTTTAAGTTAATCAGAGTCCTAAAACATAACTCCAAACATATCACAATATAAAATATGAATTTTTTTTATTTAATATTTTTTAACCTGTAAACTTTTTATTTGAAAATGATTTTTTTTAATAATACAAAGATATTCAAAAGCTAATATTAAGACTTTTTATAGTTCTAAAAAAATCTTTAATATATAACAGTATAATTTTCAACTTTGACAAGAATTCATTTAATGTTCTAATCTTACAATAATTCTTGTGCTGGTTTTATCTATCAAATAATTTTATACTAATAAACATAATTATTTATTCAACCATCAAATTAAAACTTCTCCAGGAGTCCCAACCCAACTCCAAAGCTGACCAATACTACTTTTCGAGTCCCTCAACCAAGCATCGATATTAATACCAAGGAATTCACGACAGGAGGAACGGATCTATTCTCATGCTTGTGTATGGCCCAATTTTGTACCATATTTGATTTATTACCCCTTCTTAAACATTCATTTGTAATTAATGATAGTTTCTTTTGCTGGGTATTAACATAAGAGAAAAGATAAACGACTCATTACCAGAACGTTAAATCAAATTACATTGTTACTCGAGAGGTAACCATGCAAACTCCCAACTGCATAATCCAAGACATGTTTCTAGTCAACTTCCACATAAATAATAACTAGGCACCATGGCGTCTCCATTTCCCCTTCAAGCTTCGACTTCTATGAAAATAGTTGTGTTCCAGCTACCTAGCCTTGTTAAATGTTTCCAACTACAGAACACTGTTATTGTCGATGACATGGAGAGATGGCTCGATTAATACCATGCATACTTTAATTTTGAAGGTACTTTGTTTCAGCTATATTGTTTATTCAAATGACAAACCAGATCAGTTGAGTGGCCATGGTGATCCCGCCATCACTGCTTCAATTTCCGAAATCTGTCGTGGACATTTGGTCATGTTCTGACAACCACCAGCAGTGACATGCTACAAACATCAACAAGAATAGAAAAAACATTACAAGAAATACCAAAATCAACTTCAAAAATAAGCATGAACTTAGCTGATATACAGAGTGGACTCCTATTTTGTAATCTCAGCAGCATGGCATTTTTATTTTTATTTATTTATTTATAGCAACTTCCTAAAAAATGCGGAAAAAAATGAAACAAAGATAGTTATTAAAAAAAAAAATTCATTGTTATTGGAGCATAAAGCAAAATTATAATTGAAATATGGCATCAATAACCGCAGCAACCATCTCCATTTGAGTATCAGGAAATAAAGTACCACGTCACTTTCAATTCGAACCCCGCCAAAACCTTTAAATCTGCTAATTGCTTCAAGATCAAAAAACTTGGCAGTATTTGAACTCTCCATTGCTGGAGCCAACAAAGCATCAATGAAGTAGCAGCCAGGCTCCACTGTTATTACCTACAAGAAAGGCCCCGGGCTTAAAATATTTGGTAGATTTTTAATGTTGTCTTTCATTTCTAATTGTAGATGTTCACACAAAAGGTCAACGCATCATTTTGTCAAAGATCTTAATATCAGCAGTGTAGATGCATGGTTCTTCATTGAACAAGGCCATCACTAACCATTCCCTCTTGAAGCTCTCGAATGGTACGCAAAGCTTTCAATCCTGGTCCTTCTAATTTCTCCAGTCCCTATAATTTGTTTCCGTCAAGATCCAATCCTTGGAGAAAATGAAGCAAAATAGGAAGAGGATTGAAAGCGGAGCTTTGGCAGATAAATTAGCAACAAGTACCTTTAAGTAGCCACCAGGATCATGAGTATCGATCCCCAGGAAATGCCCCAGACCATGAGGCATGAAAACTGCACCTAATCGCTCGATCATCATGTCATCTACATTGCTAAATCCAAGAAATCACACTTGCACTTAAATTAATATTTATCCTGATCATGTCAAATAGTTAGAAGTGAAAGAGACACACTGGGGAATTTAAAGTTTACCCAACAATAATGCACCCGTTTTTCAGCGACTCAAGAATCACCTTCTCTGCTAATCTGTAAAGAATAATAACTATAGTAATATACATGCAGTAGCATGGCCTTGAAAGTTCTATGCAGCAGGTAAAGTGGTTGCTGGAATTTCATTAATAAGACGATGTTACTTTTCTAATATGTAAATGCAATAATGAATAGCATCCAAGTAAAGTATGTTCGCTGAACATCAAAACCTCTCAGTCAAATTTCAAATTACCATACTGGATTGGTATAGTGGAACATCTATCCATCTATGGAAAAATATTCTATTTTTGACGTTAACCATCAAAATAAGTTCTCAATTCTTCCTTTATCAAAATCAAAATGAGATCAACTCTTCCTTTACCCTAGGTCTCAATTAAAAGCCTTCTTCAAACTATTTGGTATCGGAATAAATGAACCAAATATTGTAAAGCCATAACAATGGGTTTCTCTTTTTCTTAGATGTAGTGATTGACCGCACCCACCCACCAATTATTCTCTGAAGCATCTATTGCAAAGGTAAAGGTAGCTAACTAATTTTGTTTCAACTTGTTTATGGCAGCATAAAAGCAGTACTTTCAACAAAAAGAAAAGTCGTTTGTAATCATTAATGAAAGTTAACACTCGTCTAATCTTACTTATGCATATCTACCCAGCTGACTCCAGGTTTCATCGCAGATATGACAGCATTGTGAGCATCAAGGACAGCCTGCAAAATGTGCCATTTAGAAAAAATTCTAAAACAACTGACTTTCTAAGAGACTAAAAATCTGAAAAGGTGCATGTGGGGTAAGCAAATGAACTTTGCACAGTCTTACATTGTATATAAGGGATTGATCACTTGTGAACTTGCCATTCACCTGTATACAGGGGGAAATGGCACTTTTAGACAAAACTTAGAATTGAATAAGCAATTAACAGAAATTCAGGTGGCCTACCCTCTTGACTGCCCTTTAAAACCCATAGCCACAATTGCCATCACATCAAACACTTCAATTTTTATACATAATTTCTAATACCTAGAAAGTTATGAATCATTTCATCTGGTTGCTTCCATCAAATAACCTGTGACACTACTTAATAGAATTAGTTAAAATATGTTCTGTTGTAGTAGTGTAGTGGTAGTCGTGCCAGTGAAGAAGAATGATGCTGATGGTGATGTGGGTCACTATCTCTATATAGATGATCTAATCATTCAAAAGGTAAAACTGAACATATCTCCTCAATCACAGTTGTCTATGAAAGGCATAATAATTAAAAGTTGGGAGCAACTAGGCCTAGTTCTATCTAAAATTCAGAACATGAGTTCAACAGAAATCAGCTTGGTTATCCCTATTGCTCTTCATCATAATTGTTGATACAGGGAACTCTCTATTCACCAAAACATGTGAACCATCTGGACTTTCCAAAAGATAATAAGAAAGAACTGATATCATGTCCACATAGGTGGTAAGATCAGCCTACTGATAAATGGATGTATCAGAATAGTTCAGGTTAGTTCTGTATTTGACACAAGTAAAACACTTATCCTCAATTAAGATGCCTGCATTAGCTTCTGCCCGAAAGGTGGAACAAAATAAACTTGGAGATGATAATTTAAAAAATGCAAATGGAAAATTTTATACTTACAGGGAATGAACAAGTTATGTCAGACCCATAGAAATGGTATTCAGCTCCCATATCAAACAATGCCATATCTCCATCTTGCAGGGTCTGCATAAAACTCATTATAAACATTTTTTAGACTAAAAGATAATTCTTCCAATTTTAAAATTTATAAAGAAAACCTAACCTCAGACCTACTAGGAACTGTAACTTCATCTTAGCAGTTGCAAAATTTTCATGCAAGGGATATAATCATAGCAAGAGTAGAATTTCATACAGGTTAAGGACAATGTGATCACCATCAATTTGCCAAAATCTCAATTCTAAGCTAAGTCCACATCTACAATTGTAAAGCCTAAATAATCAGTCACCAACAGCAGAAAACACAAATTGCCTCTCCCACAACATTACACAAATGGGTTCTGACAATAGCAAGACCCATGGCCTATACTTTGCACGCAACAGTGAACATTCTATAGGTAACATTATAGGAAAATGGGTGTGTAAACAGCACATTCACAAAATCAACATATTTTCCAGGCCAGTTAACCTCTTAGATATACATCCAAAAAGCATCTAAGTCGCACATGTATAATAGCTACACATATACTCCCTTCTGTTACAACTTTTTTCATAAAGTAAAAGAAAATAGAATTCACAGTTTATAAGCAAAATTTATGTTCAGGAAACCTATCAATATAGTGTATGTCATCTGAATTGTATCATACTATAAAATAATAAAAAAATCAATCAATCATAACCTTCAGTTTATCCTATTCTTCACTTTTTACTGGTGCGCATGAACGCATACAAACGCAATATCAAAATAATGATTTGAAGGTCAAAACACATTGCACTAAGTCACTTTTTTTTTTCAATATATTTATATTCTCCACTTTTTAGTGTTGCGTGGAAGTGTTGGTGTGTGATAATCATGTAAAACTGTAGAGGCAACTTCCTCATGTCTAGGTAGCAACTTCTTATAAGGAAAAAAAGAAAAAAGCAAGGTACATGATTACACTTTTCTTTGGTTGATAATAATTTGTTTGACTTTTTACCTTAAATTTTTTTCTCGCTTCATCATTGATGAGTTTTAGGTGTGATTATCATCTAGAACATTTGTATTTTAGCAACAGAATTGGAAAGAAAGAAAAAAGATGAATATTTTACTATTATATCATTTTTTCTTTTACTATTTTTAATTAATATACTATTTAAATTTCTTCTCTTCATCAATAGATGCAAATTCCTCAATTTTTCATCTCTCATTTCTTTTTTCTTTTTCTCCACATTATTTCAATTTTTCATATTAGCTACTCACAATCATTATTCAATTTTTCTCTCCTCTCATCTGAAAATCCCACCAGTTTTCCTTTACATGTATTTTTTTTCTTTTTTCATTGGCAAATCAAATTATGGCCAAAGCCAAGACCCGCTATATAGGCTAGAAAAGTAAATTTGGCACCAAATAATTTTACAGTAACATGGCCATAAAAATTGTGCACAAACTTCTAATCCTACTTAAAGTGAACGTGTATGATTGAGGTTATTTTTTAATTTTTCATCATATTACCTCCCAAACATCAATGAATTGACCATTAAAAAATGAAAACAATGCGCTTTAGTGCTTTAATTTAAGCCGAGATGGGTGTGGGATAGAGGCACAAAATTGTAATTTGACAATTATGAGCTCCAATACCCTAAAAATATAATATAAATTACATGAACTATGTTTCAATCACCTAATAAGCAGGCATTAGGCTAGGCATAAATTGAGGATCTTCCTATCAATGATGATGTATGCTTGAAGTGAATATTGATTGAATTAGAGAAATTCTGTAATCATTAATCATTCTATGTATTTGATTAATAATAATAAAAATAACAACTAGGTATGAGCATATGATAGTAAAATCTTTTATAGAGAAGAATTAAAGACATGCATGTGGTAAAATGTAACATCTTGCTAACAAAGTCCAAACTATGGCCACATCTAATTTTTTAAAAAAAAAAAAAACTTAAAAGTTGTGTTATTGAGATAGAAGAGCATAATTGTATATTTGCATTCTAGTTATGATTATTGTAAGGAAGACTAACTTTTAGAATTTTATTATTCAAACAAATTAAATTTTTATATACAGTAACTTCATTAAATTAGCATCAAGAAAGTATATAATGAAAGTATATAATACTATCATATCCTACAAACCGAAGATTAAAAAAGAACAATTGTTTGTTTACCACATTTATATTTTTATAATACCCATTAATTAAATAACATGATTAGCTAGTAATTGGTGCATGAATCATAGAATTAATTTTGATTGGCTATTATTGAGTGAAAAATGTAAATTTATGTGCAAATCTAGAAGCTGAATATATATATATATATATATATATATATATATATAGTACAAGTATTCTTAGCACGCAGTTAAGAAGTTATAACTAACTTGTATTCATAAATTGACCATTTTATGTGATGTTGTGTGATTTAAGAGTAAAAAATATTGATTGAATTATAGAAATGCTCTACTTGTTAATAATATCATGTGTTGATGACAAATAATTAATAATTTTATGTGTATCAGTAAAATATTTTTTTAAGTAAATTAAAAGACATTCATACGGAAAAACAGAATAACATAATGCTACTTAAGTAAAATCTATGGCCATATCTAATAAGAAATTATTGACCTTCTACTATTGATTAAGAAGTGCATAATTATATATTTCCATTTTAGTAGTTACAATTTTTAAAAGAAGATGATGACTTTTATAATTTTAGAACTCGAGCAAATTAATTTTTTATATAAAGTAACTTCAGGAAAAAAATATAGCAAATAGAAAGGTTGTAATATTACTATATTGTTTATAATGAAGATTAAAAAAAAAACAATTATTTCTTTTACCATATCTATATTTTTGTAATGCAAATCAATAAAATATGAATGGTTAGTAATTGGAGCATGGCCTAAAATTAGTTTGATTGGCTATTATTGATTGAGATGTGTAAATTTATGCATGTACTTAGAAGCCAATCATTTTTTTTCTTTTTGTTAAGTTCATCTAAGCCTATACTAAAGTTAGAAGTAGCTTGAAGGATACCAAGATACTCCACCTATTGAAGGATCCTCCTATCTATGATAATGTTACAATTAACCTTAATTGCTTTAGTTGTATTCTATAATACCCAGAAATGGATATTATAATTGATTGATAGACAATTAACTTTAATTGGTTAAATGGGAATTATAGAAGATCTCCATATCTAAGTGGCAGGTTTTCTCATATTATGGATCATTGAGTTTTTGACAAAAAGCTCTTTTGCAATTATGATATGCTAAATACAATAACTATAAGATAATTTATAATTGATTGCTAATCTTTTTTTCTTTTTCTCATAAACAATTTAACAAAGAAAATGCAATGAACTATTTTTGTTTGAACTATATAATGAATTGATTACTATTATAAATTATCAATTCAAATGATTAGGAGAGAAAAATATTGATTGAATTACAGAAATTACCTAAACAATCTAAAAAAAGAGGGTTTTTTATGGTGCCTTACTGTTCATATTTTTTAATCATTTGATAGTAATTGCACTTCGTAACTCAGTTGATAGCACACAAAAATGGAACCATACAGTTGTACATTCGAATCCCGCTGGCAGCATTATTTTCAAATAGATAACATGCCATCTGACTATTATTTTCAAGAATAAAAAATAAAGGACGAATGACAAAAATAACACCAGGTCAAGTACACAGGTCTTGCCTCCAAGCCTATGCACACCTACAGCCCACTAGCAGCATTATTTTCAAATAGATGACATGTTGTCTTACTATTATTTTTAAGAAAAAAATAAAGGGCAAATGACAAAAATAACACAGGGTCAAGCACACAGGTCTAGCCTCCAAGCCTATGCACGCCTGCCCTACTAGTGGCCCAAGTGCCCCTAGCTTTTTTATGGAACTCTAAGAAAAATTTACCAAATTAACTTACTCTTCAGGATTGACATAATTCTTAAATACTATAATAAAATTTTATTTGAATTTTAATAAAAAAATCAATTATTAGGGGTGACATAAAAATAATAATACTAATAATAAATTGTTCATGAAATTCAATTCAAATATTTTTTTAGTCTTAAAATTTTTTAATAGATTTTTAACATAATTTTATCACATTTATGATTTTTTAAATTTCAATCACACAAAATATGGACATACTATTTTGATATTTTTGTTAAATTATTTAACAATCATAAAATATTTTTTTTGTAACAAAACCAATGATTCGAATTAAAAAACTTGTGTTCCCTAAGACCAACAAGTTTAACAATCATAAAATATTTGTTTTCTAACAAAACCAATGATTCCAATTAAAAAACTTGTGTTTCCTAAGACCAATTAGAAATACATTAATAAGAAAATATCTTGATTGAAAAAAAAATGTATTTTCAGGCTTATTAGTAGTGCCAAACAATTCCTTAAGACCTAGACGCTTTTTTTTTCTTTTTTTTTTTTGCATTCAATAAAATTTTGGTCTTTGCACTATGTGCGGCCATACAAAATAGTGCTAAAGACAAATTTATAAAACTTACCCTGTCATTAGGAGCTGCTGCATGCCCATAGTGAAGAACAGCACTGTACAATGAAACATTAAGGCTGTTAGCTCCTGTTGGAAATAAGTATGCAAAGTTCTACTTCAATGCATCCATATAACTATAGATTTTTCAAAGCAACTACATATCAACGACAGCATGAATCAGAACTTCACAAAAGAGGATGCAGTATTCCTTCTCCTTTCCAAATATTTTGAATTAGAAATAATGACAATCTTAGCCTCCAATCCTATCTGCTAGTGAACTGGTCAGGAGACAATTTCTTTCAAGTGCACTTGCAAAATCCAATAAATGATATAATTAGCAGGGCACTATTGTCTTTGAGAGACAACTTAAACTGAAGTCTGATTCTCAAGCTTGTCATAAGAATGGAGACGACCTTGAGATAGACTTGGCTCATTCTCAAGCTTGTCATAAGAATGGAGATGACCTTGAGATAGACTTGGCTCAGCACATTGTTATGAACTTCAGTTTGACTTAAACAAAATGAATGAGGGCAAGACCTTATACCAATTAACATTCATCACACAGAATAGGAAATCATGCAATATCATTCATTTCATTTGTTCAAAACGATGTCAATTTATTTTGAGGATGAAACAAAGATATGGAATCCCACGTCAATAAGAAATAGAAACGAAAAGGCACATCCTAATAAAACGGGTATGTTTATATTGATAATTAACAAGAAAGGAGGGAACTCATGCCACTAACAATTCACCCTTAATTAGCTAATACAACCAAGCACACTTAAAACATGAGCTTTACCTAGTGAAAATTACTCTTGTAACAAATTCACCTTCATGTTTTAACTAAAATGCAAAAGCAACTTACATACACACTCTACATATGTATGTGTTTTCTGTTTTCGAGAATGTGAAACACCAAAACTCCTGAACCAAGCTCCAACCAACAAAGTGACTTGATGAAGCTCAGGCACACATAAATTTAGTCTTTTAAACCCCTTCACAGCCCTACCCCATTGGCCATGAAGGCTACATGGCCTGTACCATATATGTTCTAAATATTGCTTACCACCTTTTATTGATCCACTCTAGATTGCTTTCAAAAGGGATTACCTATCTATTTTTGAGGTTTTCAATGAATAGACCTAATATTTCAGTTTTGCAGTTAGTTTACACAAACTAATCCATGCAGAATAACAATCATCAAGAACCTCACCTATTTTCTCCAGTAGCACATATACATGTGTATGAACAGTGCCTACACCCGCCATACATGTATGTGTGATGAAGAAATATGCTTTCCAATTGATACTCTTCCATGCCAACTCTAGTTTTTCTCATAACCTAGTCAAAATTGCAATTCTTTAGTATGACAGTAAACCATGTTATATAATTTGAAGTGTTGATTAAAAACAAATTAATGAACAAATAGCATCAATGATAAACTAATCATCAATCAAAATAATGTCTTTCACATGTAACTCGAGATGGAGATGCATGAAAATGAAAGACTCATGTTGCATGGTAGTTTTCATTCATGAGCAAGAACCCCAATTGCAAAAATAAGCAATAGATGATAAGAAATTCCCAGCATTGGCATGCAGCAGCAGCATATATAAAATTGTAACCCATTTGTTTAAGTTTGTGTGAAGAGTAATACCTAAACAAAAACTATAGTTTAAATTCTTGCAAGAAAATCCAGTCAGTCAGAAGTTTCCACAAATAGCTACCTCAACATGAGCTTCAGAGCTTATGTCATTGGCAAACTGAATAAGTGCTAGCTCCATATCTGACTTTAAAACTCGGCATTCAGTCAAAATGGGATGCAATGTAGTCAAATCCTTCTCAAACTTTTCTATCCCCTGAAAAGAGAATTAAAGATAAGGAAAAGAATGTAGATATTTATTTCATGATTGCAGATGTTGTAGCTCTATGTGAGGTAAACATGTGAAATGGTAAGGGCCAGAGGCTTAGAATGTAAGACCTCAAACTCTGCTGGTTTTGAGAAGTTATTACTGTCAGTGTTAAGTCCGTGCAAGAGAAAAAGCCAGGGTTTTTCCAATACGTTGCTGAGCTCATGTAAGACTCCTACAATCTCATCTGTGTAATAGACCATGCTAACCATGTATTGTTGCTGCAAAAAAAAAGTGGATAAACATACACAGTACATTGACGTGCATCAAACCAAGAAGCATTGAAGGAAGGATACCTGAAAGCAAGATAATGGTTTTATTTCTCCTAACCAAACCGCATAATCAGCAGGTAATCTTGGAGCAAATAGAATAGATTTCCCTGTTGCAATGTCCTTGAAATGACAATCAAAAACCACAAACAAAAGGCCGTGAAAATTATAATGATTGTTGAAGTGACACAAACAAGAGAAAGCATTCAGTTTTAAAACAAGAAATGAAGGTTCAAACTACCATGTCCAGGCAAAGTAACACAGAATTGTTAATTGTTTGAATGAAAGGTGTAAGCTAACTAACATGCCAGCAGATGCCCAGATGAAATAAGAAAAGAAAATGTTCATAAAACGATCCACTGGTCCACTATAGGCTGGAAGCATGTATCCTTGATAGTACAATACAGTGATCTAAGAAATTAAATAATAGCATAATTTGTTTTAAGTAAACTTTACAAAATAATAAGTATGAACCGCAATCCATTTTCATTCCGGACAAGAAAAATAATAAAACCAACCATGGCAATTTTACATTGAAAGAAGCGGGGGGGAATCCAGGAGCTTACAATAGCGCCATAGAAACCAGGCTCTTTTACTCCAAACAGATAAGCGAAATAACTCTCCTGCCTACACATCAAAATATACATTTTGTTTATAGTAAAATTGAAAAGCGGAGCAAATCGCCGACATTACAGCTTACAAGTGCAAAGAAATTACCTGAAGAGTTCGATGTGATCAGTGCAGTAGCGAGTTTTTTCCTCGCCTCCCTGATAAATTCATTCATAAAATAAAAAATTATGACAATAATAGATATCATCAATCAATCAACAATACATACATGCATAGATAAATAGATAGATACCTGAAGAAAGACGAAGCCGTGCAGAGGACGAGAGGTTTCGGTGAGATGTCGACGGAGGGATTTTAACAGCTTTTCACGGTTCTTGGCGTGAAGCTCCATCGGTACTTTTGGGGGGGGGAGACGAGACGAAGAAGCCATTTGCGGGCTTCTAGTTCGTTAGGTTTCGTTTCCGCTCCTTTTTCTTGGTTTATGTAAGGATTGTTATTGTAATTTTTAAAAAAAATAATATTTTTATTTTTTAAAAATTATTTTTGTTATTAGTATATTAAAATAATTTTAAAATATTAAAAATATTAATTTAAAGTAAAAATAATCATTTTTTTAAATGTTTTTAAAATACAAAAATAAACAGAATTATAATCAAAATTTAAAAAAAGAAAAAAGAAAAGAAGGCGGGGGGCTTAGTGGTATACTGCGAAGTATAAGAACAATCCTGTTTTTTTATTTCGACCCTTCATTTTATGTTATTTAGTTATTTGATCTGGGTTTAGTTTTAGTGATTCTTTATTCTTAAGAACAGCTTCATGAGCTGTAATAAAAACTACATACGTGATACTCTCATTACCCCCGCAAATTCTTTTAGTGGATGAAACAACAGGTATAGATACCGATAATACAGAAAGAACCGAGGTATTTTTAATAATTATATTATTCTACTCGAGACAACTTATTAAAATTAACTAATATAAATATTAAAAATAATTTTTGTTTAAAATTATAGTAGTAGTTTTAATTTAAAGTAATTTTTATTTAAAAATATATCAAGATAATTTTTTTATTTTTTAAAAATTATTTTTAATATTAATACATCAAAATAATAAAAAAATTAAAAAAATTAAAATTTTTAAAAATATAAATTGAATTGTATTTCCAAATAGCAATATCAGAGTCAACGGATGGAGTGCGGACATCAATTTTTTCGATTGTCCATGCAATCGACCCAAACATGTCTGATTCTAGAATGAAGAGACAGTTGCAGTGAAAATGATGTGATAGCTCAGTATCTCGCTGTTCTTCGTGAATTGCAAGCTAGTTGGACTCACGGTGACTATGAGACCAATAGGTGTTTCAATAGTTAAAAGAGTAAGCGTGTGTTTGGTATTGCGGTGGCTGTTTTAGTTGTGATTTGAAAAAAGTTATTTTATAAAAAGTACTTTTAATTGAGGTTGGGTTGGAAAAAGATATGTTTAGTTAAAACTGTGGTTAGAATTGAGGTTGAACAAAAAATATTTTAATGTGTTTGGTTAAAAATGCTTTTGAAATTGAGGTTATAAAATAATTTTAAAAAATATATATTAATATTTATATTTATAAAAAACAAAATTAACACAACTTGCTCAAATAAAAAAAATAAATGGTCAAATTTATATTTTAAAAAATTTCAAAAGTTGAGTTAATTTTTACTTTATAACTCGACTCAATTATATCCAACTCAATTATATCCATGAATACCTCTACTCGATAATAAAACTTGGTTGGTTATATGAAAAGATTGACGCATGTGATGGGAAAAAGAAAAAAAAAAGAAAACTATGAACCATAAACAATGTTAAACACTAACAAAACAGCCGCAAGTTTTGAAAATAAAGAGAAAATAATAGAAGCAAACAAAGACGAAATGTGTGTTTAAGAGTGTGATTGTAGTTATTTTTCAAAGTGTTTTTCACTAGAACATGTATCAAAATAAATTTTTTTATTTTTAAAAAATTAATTTTAATATCAGCACATCAAAACAATTCAAAAACACTAAAAAAATATTAATTTTAAGCAAAATAGAGTTAATATTTTTAAGAATAAGGGTGGAGTCGCATTTCCAAACAGCCTCAAAGTCACATTCAAACTACAAAAGATGGAAAGTGATGGGAGCATAAAAGATTGGTGTGAGGTAAACCTGCTAAGAAAGGCCAAGGCTAGTGAGAATCCCTATGGAACGTATTGAAATCTGAACCTTGTTTGTTTTTGCGTTTCAAAAATATTTTAAAAAAGTTTAAACTTTTTTTATTTTTTTGTTCAATTTAATTTTTTTTGTGTTATCAGATTATTTTAATGCGCTGATATCAAATATAATTTTTAAAAAATAAAAAAATTATTTTAATAGATTTATGAGTAAAAATCACCGTAACCATACTTCAACAAGCAACTAAACTTGTTATCCAACATAAAACAGCAGAGAAAGAAACTGAATGATGTTTTTAAAAATTAAGATTACAAGGAAATTGAGTTGAGGACTCAAAAGAACCCAAGCACATCTAATTTATTACTAATTTTAAAAGACCTGGTAAAAAAAAAACATGTTGACATAACTAAAAGATTGATGTCTTCTTTCAAGTGCAGGAGTGTCGAAATA